TCTTAATGATGCTGTGTCTGTTGAGAGAAGTATTTTAAAATATCCAACTATGACTGTACACCAGGCTATGTATTTAGTTCTGTCAATTATTGCTTCATGTATATGACTAATATACACACTTAAATTAGATTTTCCTAATGATTTGATCCTTTTATTATTATGCAGTGTCTCTTTTTCTTTGGTAATACTCTTGTCTTGAGGTCTACATTATCTGTTATTGGTAAAGCCACTCTAGCATTTTAATGCTTACTGTTTGATTGACATCTTTTTTAAAATCCCTTTATTTTCAACCTAGATATATCTTTATTTTTAAAGTGCATCTGCTAGAGGGCATACAGTTGGGTATGAGATTCTCCAGTCTGATAATCTCTGCCTTTTCATTGGAATGTTTAATCTATTTTTAATTGGAATGTTTAATCCATTTATATTTAATGTAATTTTTGATATGGTTAAAATACATCTCTTTATTTGTTCCTATTTGCCCCCATCTAATTCTTTTGAAATTGATGACATATATTTAACATATCCAAATTACCATTTCAACATGTAACCAATATAAGACATTATTAGATGTTTTACCTTCTTTTTTTAAACTTTATTGAGGTATAATTGACAAATAAATTGTAAAAAAATTAAAGGCAACATCATGATGATATGATATACATACACACCATTCTGAAATGATTCCTCCCATCTAATGAATTAACATATCCAACATTTTGCAAGCTTAGGTTTTTTGGGGGTTTTTTTCTTTTGGTGAGAGCATTTAAGTTCTACTCTCATACAATATAGTTTTATCAATTGTAATCACCATGTTACACATTAGATCCTTAAACCTTTTTTATTGTATAGGTGAAAGTTTATACCCTTTTACCGACTTCTCCCTATTTCCCCACCTCCCCAATCCCTGGCAATAATATTCTACTCTGCTTCTATGAGTTTGACATTTTTTGATTCCACACATAATGAATCTAAATGCAGTATTTGTCTTTTTCCATTTGGCTTATGTCACTTAGAATAATGTCCTCAAGGTCCATCTGTGTGTTGCAAATGGAAACCATTTAGGGTCTTATGTTCAAATCTTTAATCCATTTTGAATTAATTTTCTGTGTGGTGTAAGATAAGGGCCCAGTTTCATTTTTTTCCATGTGGCTACCCAGTTTTTCCAATACCACTTGTTGAAAATATTATCTTTTACCCATTGTATATTCATGCCTCCTTTGTTCTAAATTAATTGGCCATACAGATATGGGTTTATTGCAGGCTCCTTCTCTAGTCCGTTGATCTATGTGTCTGTTTTTATGCCAATACTATACAGTTTTGATTACTAAAGCTTTGTAATATAGTTTGAAATCAAAAAGTGTGGTGCCTCCAGCTTTGTTCTTGTCAAGAGTATTTTGGTTACTTGGGATGTTTTATGGTTCCCTGCAAATTTAAGGAGTTTCTCTTTATATGAAAAATGCCATTGGAATTTTGATAGGATTTGCCCTGAATCTGTAGATTGCTTTGGGTAGTATGGCATTTTAAAAATATTCAACCTTCCAAACCATGAACACAGAAAATATTTCCATTTATTGGTGTCTTCCTCAATTTCTTTAAACAACATCTTACAGTTATCAGTGTATAGGTCTTTCACCACCTTGGTTAAATTTATTGTTAAATATTTTATTCTTTTTTATGCAATTATAAATGGATCATTTTTTTAACTTCTCTGATAGTTCATTGCTAGTTGCAGAAACACATCTGTTCTTCTACATTAATTTTTTGTCCTGTACATTTACTGAATTCATTTATTCTAATAGTTTTTTGGTAGAGACCTTAGGGTTTCCTATACACAATATAATGTCACCTGCAAATAGAGATAATTTTACTTCTTTTCCAATATGAATGCCATTTATTACTTTTCTTACCTAATCTCTCTGGTTAGTACTTCCAATACTATGTTGAATAGGGTGGTGAGAGTGGGTATCTTTGTCTTGGTCCTGATTTTAGAGGCATAGCCTACAGCTTTTCACCATTAAGATATTAACTATAATGCCACAATTTTCTCATCTATAACTCTTTGTACTCCCAATCCCTTTGGCTAAAATGCCCTTTTTCAAAGCCCTCCTCACTGCCAACTTTCTACTCATTTTTCTCATGTCAGATTAATATATTCAGTCCTAGAGAAGCAGTCTTGAAATCTTTTAGACCTGTGATGTCCAATGAGATAGCCACCAGTCATAAATACCTACAAAGTACTTAAAATACAGATAGCCTGAATTGAGATGTGCTCTACATAGGAGATTGAAGGCTCAGTTTACAAAATTATAAAATTATGTTATTAATAATTTTATATTGGTTACATATGAGATATTTTGGATGTATTGGGCTAATTAAAATATATTATTGAAATTTATTTTTATCTTTTTTAACTTTTTAAATGTAGCTACAAAAAAACTCAAAATTACATGTGGCTTACATTATATTTCGATTGGACACACCTAGACTAGAAGAGGAGGAGACCCTTTTTTCAATACCCTGTAGTTTTTTTCTTTAGTAGTATTTATTTTATGTGTTATGGTAAATTTTATCCTGTAGCACCTAGTGAGCAAGGGGCTGTCTTGTTAACATGGTGATTTCAGTGCTGAGGGTACTAAAATAAAAAAGTTAATCCCATTATTCATAGACCTCATATTTGTAAATTTTCCTGTGCATCCAATTTACTTGTAATCAGTACTAGCACTACTTTCACAGTCATTTATGGACAAGCAGAGAACAGCAAAAGATACAAGCCATTCAATGTATATTTTCCTAGCTGAGGTCAAATGAGGTGATGTACTGCCTTCTTATTACAGCTGTCAAATTAAACAAGTGTTTCTTTTCAGTCTATTAGTGCCACTTCTCACATTTTTGTAACTTCTTTTGGTGACACGGCTATTTAAAATGGCCTTGGAGCATAGTGCTAAAATGCTGTGTAGTATTTTGTAGCACAAGAGGCTATGGTGTGTCTTATAGAGAAAATACATGTGTTGGATAGGCTCCTGCAGGAGAAATTATAGTGCTCTTGGCTGTGTGTTCTTAAACTAAAACACACATAAAACAAGATTATGTATTGGTCAGTTGACAAAAATGTTATGACCAGAGGCTCACAGGAACCTAACTCTGCATTTCCCCTAGGAGCAATGGTTCAGTATCTGTTGATTCGGTGTTCCAGCAACTTCACTAGAATTTACCGTATTTGCTGAATGAATGAAGCCAGATCATTTGATTCCAAATCCAAATCTTATGCAAATGCAGTAATGGTATTAGTTAAAGCAGTGATTGTGGAGCCAACTGCCTAGAGTTCAATCTTGGCCCTCTGATTTGCTAACTGTGTGATTGTGGGCAAATTACTTTTCTCTGCTTTTTTCTCACAATTAAAAATGTACATAAAACAGCAGTTGTTAATGGTTGCCAGTGGCTGGGTGTGGGCAGAGGGGACTGACCACAAGGAGGCAGGAGGAAACTTTTGGAATGAAGCAAATATTGTTTATCTTGATTATAGTGATAGTTACATAACTGTCGATGTTTTTCAAAACTCACAGAGCTAAAAAGGGTAAATTCTACTTTGTATGAATTATAACTTACTAAACCTGAGGTTAAAAAAAGAGTAAGAGTTAAGATTAAAAGAATAAAGCACATGAAACATTTAATGCCCTACCCACTCACATAAATGCTAGCCATCATTCTGGTAACACTAGACAGGGAAAAGTTAGGAGGTATAAGGAAAAGCTGAATGAACTCATGAACCAGTGTTCTAATTTGACTCTTTAAATATTAGCTACAGGCTGAATTCGGTTTATGAGAGTTCCCTTGCTTCTTATAGAGGTTAAATTCCATATGTGTGAAATATCTGTCCAAACCGGTGAGCCACACAGTAATGCGAGAAAGGGGACTGACTCTTCATGAGACAGCAATTCAGAATTACAGGACCACATACACCGGGGAGTGTAGGTCACCTCTCCAAAGAAGAATGCAGTGCGTTGTGAAATGGAACATAAAGCAGCGCATTTCTTTTAAGAACCTTGGTACTTAATCCTAGTCAAGTCTCTATCGGTTCCTGGTCGATTATGAGGACAACCCAACTGCTCTAATGATGTATGAACATACCTAAAACTCACAGAAATGCCAGTTCCGAGAGGGAAGAAGAGCCAAATTTACCGGAACTGTACTGGTCTGTTTCTGGACGCGACTATGCGGTAGGAGTCGGACACCCATTCACGTCCACAGCTCCACAACAGCCTAGTATGAGGAATGGGTTGGGTCATTTCACGCTGCTATTTGGTTCGGGGATGTCTCAGCAGTTCCCAACCCCCAGGGCTCTGCTGACCCTGCCCAGGCACCCACTGGCAGTTACTGCCAGAATCTCATGGATGGCTGGGGCTGATCCGGTAATAAAATACTGCACTTGGTCTCTTCCTCGAGGGGCAAGTGTGGTTTCGACCACCAACCTGGGCCAGAAGTTCGACCCCAAAGTTCCCTCCATAAATCCCGGGACACCCGTTGAATTAGCGTGCCTCGCGCGTCCTGATAACAGTCGCGCGACAACCACCACGCACCTGAAGGCAGGGGCCACCAAGCGCGCGGTTTGGTTCCAGCTAACTTCGACTGGGACCCTAGCGCAACGAACCCAAAAGTTTGAGGTACAAGCTTACTTACCTTTGAATTCACCCTCCGCAACCGCACTCCAGAAAGTGCTCTTCACGCCGGAAGTGCATTAATCCGCAGCACGTGGGGTTGCCAGGGCGCGCTTCACGTGACTGGGCGGGGCCTCGGGAACGTTGTAACCAATGGTAGCCCGAGGGGGCGGTGCCTGTGACGCGCCGGGACCTATCCCGGAAGTGGGGCTGAGGTGGGGGCGGGAAAGGGCGGGGAGGCCGGGGTGTGGAAAGTGTGGCGGCCCCGCCCCGTCTCTTGGAACTGCCGGGGCAGCCACCGCTGCTGCCGCCGCTGCAGCTGTAGGGGACCGGCGCCGGTGCGCAGGCGAAAGGATCTCTTTCCCTGCTGAAAGGTGAAGACAGGGGGAAAGCTGGGGGGCCGGGACCGGCGCTAGGCAGAGCCGGAGAAGGCGGCCGGAGAAGGCGGCGGGCGCCGAGTCCAGAGCGAGGGAAGGAGGAAGGATGGCTGGGGGAACGGAGGCGAGCGCGGGACCTGCTAGGGCTCAGGCCCATGCGGGGCCGGGCCCGGCCGGGCCGGGGATGCCGGCAGGACAAGGGGGCGCCTAAGAGGCCGGGGCGACGGCACGGCAGGCTGGAGGGCGGAATGCAAGCCCGCTGCCAGAGGGCCAGGTGCTTTTGGCTAGGTCCCGTTATCCCCATCCTTCGCGGGGACGTGCGGCCTGGGTTGGGTCCCCCGCAGTGGGATCAGGGCGGTGGCGGAGGGCCGGGTGGCGCGGCGCGATGCGGGAAGGTCGCCGGCTTCTCTTGCGGTGGGACAATGGGGGCAGGGATTTGCTGTCCCCAGCGCGGGTGAGTGCCCAGGGCGGGTATCCCCCTCAGCCCCAGCGAGCTCATCTGCGACTTCCCTCCCCATCTCCCCACTTCTCCAGCAATGGTTGGAAAAGTTTATAGAGGCCGGAGTTAGAACGTGCCCACTCTTCTTGGGCGGGTGTTCTATAAATGAAAAAAATCTATTGATCCATGATGCTTGGAACGTAACCTGTCCGAGATGCGATGTTTCTCTGCCTGCGTTCCCGTTGTTAAAAAGCAAACAAACTTTTTGCGTAGTTCCCTCGGAAAAGCTACCATCTCCCCAGCCCACCATGGCGGATGAAATTGATTTCACTACTGGAGATGCTGGAGCTTCCAGCACTTACCCTATGCAGTGCTCGGCCCTGCGCAAAAACGGCTTCGTGGTTCTCAAAGGACGACCATGCAAAATAGTGGAGATGTCAACTTCCAAAACTGGAAAGCACGGTCATGCCAAGGTAAGTGCCCTTCCAGATCTGACTTTGCGTTGGGATTTTGATCATTTGTGTTCCAGTACGGAACATGAGAGTTCCATATTTATAACTTTGCAATAATTACATTTTCTTCTTACCACAATTTCGGGGTGGCCAGCTATTGCTTTGAACACTGAAAGGTTGCATTTCCTTTTTGGGCCTTTACAATGTTTCATTAGCTGGTAACTGAAACTTTCCTGAATCCTAGTGACTTAGAATATCTGTTCAGTTTATAGATGAGAAATCCTGTTCTAACATTAACTTCATTTCTCTTATGCACTCTTATAATTGAATTACTGGGCTGTATATGATCCTGGGTCTCCGTATGTCACGAAAGTGTTTAGTTGTTCACTGCTTCTGAATTCTATGACCACTGCATTTTATTTTTAAGAAAATAAAATTAGATGACCTTGGAAGGAGAAAGAATCTGTCATAATCAGCTTTGGTATTGTGCTATGTGTATGTAATGAGTGATATACTTGGCAAAGATAACAGGTTTCCTGTTCTCCCTTCTTTGTTAGGTTCACCTTGTTGGAATTGATATTTTCACCGGCAAAAAATATGAAGATATTTGCCCTTCTACTCACAACATGGATGTTCCAAATATTAAGAGAAATGATTATCAAGTGAGTACTAACTTTCTTTAAAATGATGCTTTATTTCTTAAAGTTGCAAATACATTCTATCGACTGTAATTTAACAAAAGCTGGTAGTAGTTTTGTAGATTTTTCTAACCAAATATTAGGCACCACCTATCTTAGAAATTGGAAAGATAGTGATAGTTATCCCTTGTACCTTATCTAGAATTATGGTTAATTTGCTATTTTAAAAAATATTTTTGCATTTTTAGTTGAACATGTCTCAGACCACATGACTGCATATTGTGACTGATAAGGTCAAGGTTTAGGAAACTACTATTGTCTTTGTTGTAAAATACTGCCAATTTAGATAACTCCCTCCCCAATGTTTTATTTCTTTTCACTTCTCAAACCTAAGATTTTTTTTTTTTTTTAAGATTTATTTATTTGACAGAGAGAGATCACAAGTAAGTGGGTGTGGGGGCGGCAGAGCAGGCTCCCTGCTGAGCAGAGAGCCCAATGCGGGACTCGATCCCAGGACCCTGGGATCATGACCTGAGCCGAAGGCAGAGGCTTAACCCACTGAGCCACCCAGGCGCCCCTCAAACCTAAGATTTTTAAGAAATCATTGGAATTCATGTTCCACCACCCAAGTTTGTGTATTAATACATATAAGTCAGAATTTGGTATTCTTAAATAGGAAGTAACTTGAAAGCCATTAATATAAAGAAAGTACATGGCCGCTGCATATGGTAAAAAACATGCAAAACTATGTAATTGTTTTATTTACATTCAGTGACCGTGCTGTGACCTTTGGTTAAATTATAGGTATATAGTTCCAACTTTTAGTTCCAGTTATGCATTTGGATAGGTCATGTTTAATGATAGCATTTTGTTGTTGTGGAATATTGGTGGTAACCAACCATTGACCTCATAGGATGTGGGAGCTCAGATTAAGCATAACTAAAGTCTATCTTGTAAGTCTTCAATCTCACTGTCAAGCATACATTCATAGAACTCTTTTCTGTTCATTTTACACAGTGAAAAATACAAGTGTGACACTTAGAGTTTTTGTTCATTTTAAACTAATTTCTTACTTACTATACCTTTTATTGTGTTGCATAATCTTCAAAGCATGCTACCATCAACTACAGTTAACATATGATTTCCTTTTACTCTTTGTCCACATGTAAAAATATTTTACATAGTTTTAGTCTAGTAAGCAGTTTTATATTTTTACTTTCCCTCTTATAAATGTTTTCAAGGTTGCTTTGGAGTCTTTGTAGGAATTTGAATTGTCTTATTATAATAATAGCATATGGGGTTTCTTTTTCATCAGGTAATTTGGGTTTGGATCTAGTTCTGTCACTTTCTAGCTGGATGACCTTGGACAAATTACACAATCTCTCTGAGCCTCACTTTTCCTTTCTACAAAGTAAGGATAATGTAAGGATTAAATGAGAAAATGTATCCCATAATTACCTCATCACTAGATATGTACCAAAAAGTAGTTCTATTCTGCTCCCCCTTTCCTTGTATAAATATTCCATCTCATCATTTCATTATACTTGGAGCACCTTATTTAGACATGGCTTATAGTGGGTGCTCAATAAACTTTTGTTAAATGCATATGGGAGTATTCATTAAAGTAAGTATAGTGCAGCTAAGGCTAAGCATAGAGTTTTCTTTTGCCAAAAATGGATTTCTCTTTTCATCCCTAACATGTGAATGCTTTGAATGTTCAATATTCATTGTATATATTAATATGCATTCAATATAGAATGGTTTTGCCTTTAAGTGTTTCAGAAAGATAGTATCAGTAGTTTATCAGTAATTACTACTATGATCAAATTAATCAATCATTGATTGGACCTCAAGATTTAACATAAAGGAAAAATTTGATTTGGGTTTTATTTGGGAATATAGCAGGCTATAGGAGAATGAGGTAAGTGAGCACAAGATTTTAAATAAAAACAGGACTACTGACAATGTCAAGTCACATAGCAACCTTAGGCAAAAAGGAAAAATCAGTAATTCAAATTCTGTCTTATTTAAATTTTGAAATTGTGTTCATCATGGAATTTTTGCATTAATTCTAATTTTAAAATATTTGATCACTGAAAAGTTTTTCTGGTGCCACCTTAAATTTTGCCCTCAAAATTAGTGCCTCACTTGCCTTATCCTGTCTCAACCTTTGGTATGTAGTCTACACTGTATCATGGATAAAAGAATGACTCAAGCCAGACAGGCTGGATCCAAATCCTTACTTTAACACTTAAGAATTATATGACCTTACGTGGCAAGTTACTTAACCTCTTGCCTTTTTTTCTCTATTTATAAAATGAGGATAAGAATAATAAACTCCTCATGGGATCATTGTGAGGTTTAGTTAGTTAACACTTAGAGCAGTGCCTTGTACAGTAAGTACTCAGTAAGCACATCCCTTTGTTATCAAGTCAACATATAATACTTATTTCTGTTCATTTAAAAAATTTAGCTCGGTGAGTCTTTTCAGTTATATTTATTGTGCTGTGGTGGTCTTCATGAACCTGTCCACACTGAATAAATACAAGGTATGAACCTGGAGTTGGGAGGAAAAAGCGTCTATCAAAGACAATATTGGAACAATTGGCAAGTTTGAGTGGACTATATATTAAATAATATTTTAGCAATACTACATTTTTTAATTTTGAAAAATAAGCTAATTATATAAGAGTTTGCTTTCTTAGGAAAACAAACTGAAGTATTAATCACTAAAGAGTTGTGATGTTTGAGCATACTCTCAAATGGTTCGGTAAAAAGAAGAAAAGAATAAGAATGTATATTGTATGTATTTTATGTATTCCTATACCCAGAAAGAGAAAAAATGCACATGTAGTTAAATGTTAACAGTGGACAAGTCTGGGGAAAAAATATGGGAATTTGATTTATTATTTTTGTAACTTTTTGGTATATCTGAAAATTTATAATTTATATAGAAAGATAAAATAATTTTCATTAATTAATTCTATTTTTCTATAGTTTAGTTTTATTTTTGAAAACTTTAATTTTATTTCACATAATTTATTTTAGTAAGATGTTTAATTTTTAAAATATGTTTTACTAGATGTTTTATAATGTCTATACATTTTTTATTTGAAATGCTTTTTATTTCATCCCACATTTTAACTTCTGGATTCTTAACTCTTTAGAAATAAAAACCAACATTATATAAATAAATACTGAGTATCAGTATTATTATTTGGCTTTTATGTTTTAGTCACTAATGACAGTGGAAACTTTAATTCTTAAAATAGACAAATTCTACTTCAGGGAATTGCTAAAAGGGCCTAAATCAAAAAGATCTACCTTGTAAGCCTGTGGCTAATTGTTTAAAATTATACAATAAATGATCTGGGAAAACTGGACAACCACATGCAAAAGAATGAAATTAGACTATCATACATCATACTCAAAAATTAACTCAAAATGGGTTAAAGACTTGAATATAAGACCTGAAACCACAAAACTAGAGGAAAATGTTGGTGGCAAGCTTCCTGACATTGGCCTTGGCATTAACTTTTTGGATCTGACACCAAAAGCAAAGGCAGCAAAAGCAAAAATAAACAAGTGGGACTACCTCAAACTAAGAAACTTCTGTGAGAAACTTTCTTTTTTTTTTTTTAAGATTTTTTAAATTTATTTATTAGAATGGGAGAGAGCATGAGAGGGGAGAAGGTCAGAGGGAGAAGCAGACTCCCTGCAGAGCTGGGAGACCGATGTGGGACTCGATCCCGGGACTCTGGGATCATGAACTGAGCCAAAGGCAGTGGCTTAACCAACTGAGCCACCCAGGTTCCCTGTAAGAAACTTTCTGCAAAGGAAACCATCAAGATGAAAGGGCAATCTACTGAATGGGAGAAAATATTTGCAAAACATATATCCAGTAATATCCAAAATATATAAAGAATTCAACTCAGTGGGGGGAAAAAAAAACCAAAAAACAAAAAACCCAAGCAATTTGATTTAAAAATGGGCAGAGGATTTAAATAGACATTTTTCTGAGAAAGAGATAAAAATGGCCAGTGGGTATAGGAGAAGTTCAACATCACTAATTGCCAGGGAAATTCAAATTAAAATCACAATGAGATATCACCTCATACCTGTTAGAATGGCTATTATCAAAAAGACAAAAAGTAACAAGTGTTGGAGAAGATTTGGAGAAAAGGAACCTTCATGCACTGTTTCTGGGAATGTAAATTGGTACATCCACTATTGAAGACAATATGGAGGTTCCTCAAAAAATAAAAGTAGAACTATCATATGAACCTCCTATACCACTTCTGGGTATTTATATAAAGAAAATGTAGGGACGCCTGGGTGGCTCAGTGAGTTAAAGCCTCTGCCTTCGGCTCGGGTCATGGTCCCAGGATCCTGGGGTGCTGCGGTCCTGAGATCGAGCCCTGCATCGGGCTCTCTGCTCCGCGGGGAGCCTGCTTCCTCCTCTCTCTCTCTGCCTGCCTCTCTGCCTACTTGTGATCTCAGTCTGTCAAATGAATAAATAAAATATTTAAGAAAGAAAGAAAATGTAAACACTAATTTCAAAAGATAGATGCAACTAGATGTTCATTGCAGCAATATTTACAAGTCAAGGTATGGAAATAATCTAAATGTCCATTAATGGACAAATGGATAAAGAAGATGTGATATATATATACACAAGGGACTACTACTCAGCCATAAAAATGTTGGGAAATGTTGACATTTGCAACAACCTGGATGGACCTTGAATATATTATGCAAAGTGAAATAAGAGAGAGAAAGAGAAATAGTGTATGATTTCACTTACATGTGAAATTAAAAAACAAATGAACAAGAACAAAACAGAACTTACAGAGCAGATTAGTAGTTGGTTATTAAAAAGGAAGGGGTGGGAGATGAGCAAAATGGGTAAAGTGGGTCAGTTGTACGGTGACAGATGGTAACTAGACTTATTGTAGTGATCACTTTGTAGTATATACAAAGATTGGTATGATCAAGAAAAACTACACTTCTGCTTCAACCTCGTGTCCCATTCCTCTACCAACCACCTTACATATGTTTGAGTGACATAAAGATGAGTTAAAAGTATTTGTGGTTGCTTTGTAGGATGGTTTTTTGTTTTTGAGATTTTAGACATGCATAAAAGCTGAAATCTCTTGTTGGGGTATCTGTGGAAAGCCATAGCCAGATTTGGTAGTGCCATAGAAGAGAGCTTTGAAATCTATCTCTATGGTATGCTTGTGTTATGTCATAGTAGTTACAGGAAGGTAAGGATCATATCTTTGACCCCTTTTGTGTTTGTCAATGTTAGCATCTTGAATTTTAAACAACTGCCTTTTATAAAATCTGTTAAAAATACAGGCATACTGATGGTGTATATGCTTTGAGAATAAATGAGTACAGCCTATTTCCTCATTCCTATAATAAAAAAAAATTGAGTGATATCAGAATTGCCCTTTCGAAGGTTAGACTGGGTTTGTCTCATTAATGTCATCAACATTAGTGTTTGTCTTTTAAAAAATCTAATGTTGTTAGTAGTAAACTGAACACCCAAAAGTTTTCCACCGAAGTTTGTCATAATCAAATTATAAAACACATTGTAATCATAGAAAACGAAAATTAACTTTATCCCCATGAATGGGAAAACAGTTAAATCAGTTAACAATCTATCTATACAGTTGTGAAGTGATTAAAGAGACTACGGTAGGTCCTTAGTTTCCAATTTGGAAAAATTTCCAATTTGGAAAAATTTCTAAGACATATTGTTAAGTGAAAACAACTTGCTGAAAAATACCTGTAATGTCCCATGTATTTTTTTTCTCTTGCCTCAAAAAGTGACATTTATTCAAAGAAAAAAAAAATGGCAAGATGTCCATCCCATGGCTCCCTTCCCTCCCCATGCCTGAACCCTAGGTAGGGCTAGAGAGCAGGGCAGCCCCTCAGATAATGTAGCAACATTAGGTGCATCTCCTCAACGGAGGTGTTGTAGAAGGTGTCAATGTCTTGAAGAGTCCTCTTGTCATCTTCTGTCACCATGTTGATGGCCACACCCCAAGAGCCAAATCGTCCACCACAACCAATTCTGTGGATATAGTTTTCCCCTTTGGGGGGAATGTCATAGTTGTGACTAAAGAAACCTGCTGTCCATTGATGCCTCTGGTCTAGTGTGAAGGGAGAGGATAGCTTCAGCATGTGAATGAGAAGAGGGCACAATCTGTCCAGAATGGATTGAAGTGTATGTGTAGGCAGCCAAAGGAAAGCAAAGGAAACAAACATCCCCTCTCCCCCAACAACCGGAGGCATGCCAGATTTTATTCCAAGTTGCTACTTTCCTGGAGAGGGGCACAAGCAGGCCCCTTGGAAAGGGAATCACTTTGGATTCCCTTTTATTTTTTTTTTTTTAAGCAGATATATTTGTATTGTGTACATAAATGTGAATTCTTTAGGACATACTATATATAGATTTGGGGGAAGGTAGTTTGCAGGAAGAAGTGAACTTACACTTTTAGTCTCTACGGCTCTTATACTTTTGTATGTTCAGCATTTTTAAGCTCTAAGAGTATATTAATGTGTTACTGTGTACCTATACAAATTAATGTGGATTGCAACTTAACTATGTAAATATTACAAAGAGTGAATATAATCTAATCAGTGCAAATTGTATAATTTATTTTAATAGCTAATATGCATTCAGGATGGTTACCTTTCCCTGCTGACAGAAACTGGTGAAGTTCGTGAGGATCTTAAGCTGCCAGAAGGTGAACTAGGTAAAGAAATAGAAGGAAAATACAATGCAGGTGAAGATGTACAGGTAAAGACCTATGGGGGGATTGCTTTTTATAAAAACTTCGGCCTAATCTAGTTAGCAAAATATGCCAACTATGAAATACAGTTCTTAAATACTGCCGAAATGGAAAATGATCTCTGTTAAGAGTTTTCCCATGATACCCTTAAAGACCCATTACCAAAGAAAGTATTAAAGTTCACCTTTTGCTAGGTAGACACTGCCAACCCCAGATTTGTTTTGAAGATCAGCATCTGCACTATTAAGAATGAGAAAAGTGTTATGGGAATGCTAAAGCATGAAGATGATTTACCCCATCTTTGTTATAACTCTCAGAAGTGTAACATCTAATGAATATTGAGGCAATTATAGCTCTTTTCTCCCTGTTCCCTGGAATTTATCTTAAAACCACAATTAGAGAAATTGTGCTTTGGAAATCTATGAAGGAAGTCGATTATCTAGTCTTGGGATGCTTCTTTCCAAAGTCAGTGTGTATAAAATATCCGTAAATACCCAGTATGTAATAAATAAAATATATCTTATAGAGTATTGCCTTCTAAATAACTTTTTGCCTGCATTTTTCCATTCTAGGTGTCTGTTATGTGTGCAATGAGTGAAGAATATGCTGTAGCCATAAAGCCCTGCAAATAAATGGGACCATCAGGCATGAGCAAAATGTTTAGGTCTGGACCAACCACAGATCTAAAGTTTGGTTCTAAGTTGTCACCAAAGCTATTGCCTTCATAAGCAACCTCATTTCTTTTTTTAATTGTTTTGAAATTGTACTGAGTTCGTTTTACAGGCATTTAGTAACTTAAAAGAATCAAGATGTAAAATTCTGGTTTTTTTAGTTTTGTAGGTGTCTCCCCTATACCTTTCCTGTGGTTTTCAGTGAGTCCAAGAAACAGATAAGATGGCTTCAGCAGATATGATTTGTCTGAGGAAATTGTTCCTGAATTTTAGTTGATAAATAAACCAGGGTTTTAAATCAGACAATGTAGCATCTAGTGGTATTGAAGTACCACATTTAAGTTGAATTGTTCTGCATTAATTTCAGACTTACAGAATAAGTAGATTATGGATTGGAATTGTCACAGCTTCAGCCTGTGTGTGGCAAGCACAAATCCTTAAACAGAAATCATGTTATCGAAAAGTGTCGGTTATCTTGGTAGGCATGTGCAGCCACCTGTATACCTCAGTCATACTTTTCTTTGCCAAATTGTTGGAGGACTAAACATAACCTATATAGTGATTTGATACCTGCTAGTGGTTGACAAAGAGGCATTGAACTGTCTGGTGACTATTATTAGCCAGACATTATAAAGGAGTCTGCAAGGAACAGTGGCACAGTGCGTTGGTTAGAACTCCAGGTCTTTACTGGAGGCCTGTGTAATCAGCATAAAAATAGGAAGTTTCTTTCTAGTTATGTTTTTGCTTTTTCCTTTTGTTCTCTTTCTGTATTTAAAGGAGTGACTGCTTTATAGGATATTATACAGTGCTTTTTACCAATTATGTTAAATAAATTGTTGTTATTTATAGTAGTCACTCCTTTCCAACCATTTTTAAGGAGTTTTTTTGACATTAAAATATTTAATTGTCAGACAAAAACTGGAAATTCTTACTTTAAATTGGTTTGGAACATTGTTAAATTTATGTACACTTTTTCTAAAGTGAAATGAAAGTAAATCATGGAAGAAGAGTTATTTTATACGATAATTATTTTACTTATTTTAAGAAGTACATGTATTTTTTTCTTCTGATTGTTATTTACTTAATTCAGTTACTGGTATGAAACATAACTAGGAAAGAATTCTACATACCAAATTATTTTAAAAACTGTTTTAGGTGAGTCAGCTACATTTCTCTTTAGTCTTTTGGATTGTGATATCTTATTTCCAGGATTCTAGACATGGTCACAGGGTTTGTGAGGACCTTTGACTTAATAACAATCATATTGAAATGAAACTTAGAACAAAATCACTACTTTACTAATACCTTCATGCTCTAAGACTGAATATGAAACTGTTCCCATCATCCCTTGTCCTCTGGAAGGCCTTTGTTTCTATCATCTAGAGGAAAACATACATGATGCTGTAACTCATCTAATCAGTGACTGAATATAGCATTAGGAATAGAAGATCCCAAAGGTTTCAGTTACTTAATTTGTGCACATTTTAAAATCTTGTATTGGCTTCAGCAAACCCATTTGGAAAGAAACAAGATACTTTAAGAGAAATGCAAGGAGAATTCTAAAGCACAAGAAATACTGAGATTGTAGTTAATCATTTTAGTGTAACATTTTAGCTTTTTCCTATCTAAAGCACAATTAGGAATTAGGCTAAATTCTTTCCAATATTCCGTTTAAGTATCTACTATATTCTGCTCTAGTTTTTTAGTACTCTGTACCATGTGTTTTACTTGTTGCTGGTTAGTATTGTTACCCACAGGAATCCCAAGAAGTTCTCAATCTGTGCTGCTTGCTGGTCACTCATATGACCCCAGTTAACCATATTAGTGTTCTGGTTTACTATTAATTCTGGATTAGCATGCCCTTGTTGTTCCTAACTTGTCAAACTTCACATAAATACATTTCCAATTGTGAGGTAAGCATATATAAATTATAATAATGCATCTCTTATCTTCCTACCTTGAATGGCAAAAGCTATTTATGCATAAATATTTTAAGTACAATAATGAAGTGTAAATACTCTTCTGACATATAATTATAAGTATAGATTTTAAAGATACGGGACTGTTTATTTTCACATAAGTCAATATATGTTTCTCTAGAACAAAATATTTCATTTAGTAAAGCTTTATAAATTGTATTAAAAAGGAAGCAGGTAAACATATTTTTTAACATAGAACAGAAGTGACTTCATTCTTTTTTGACATCAGAAATATTAAAAGTTGACTCCTAGTATTTGTTGTACTTTTTTGTAGCAAATGTTAAATATCACAGGTTACCATGTATAGAGTGTAGACTGTCCTGTTGCTAGATTATACAATGATAAATCATTTTTGTCTCCAGGCATTTCACCAATTTATATACAATATTAACAAGTGAAATATTTGTTTCTTTCTAGAGCAACTTTTATTTCTACTGTGAAGAATTTGTTATATCTTATTTGCTACTACAAAGTTGTATACCCTCTGAAATAGATCAAGTCATTGCTACTTCGACTTAGCATTTGCATCATCAACATAATTATGATGTTTCTTTCACTCTCCCCTCCAAGGGCTGTCTGTCACTTGAAATCGTTGCTAACCAAGCTCTTGAATCCGTTACCGTTTATGGTATGAAATACTGTACCAATGCTTTATAGCGATTACCAAAACTCTCCTGCAGCCAGAGCATGATATCTTTAATAGGAGATGCTATCATAAAATGTTTAGGCTATAAAATTTGGGGACACAATTTTTCATTATAGCACAACGTGAGTGTGTGCAAATGCACACATAGCTTTGTATGTTTGTTCTTTTTACTAAATCCTTCCAACTCTTAAAAGTACTGTAGTCTGGTAGTGCCTCAAATGTTGGTAACTTTTTTTTTAATTTACAACTTTTCCAGAATTTGTTTTTGTAACTAAAGTTTCTCAATTAGATTATTTCTAGTTGAGCTGTAATTTGAATGCATTGTTCTCAGGGCTGTTTGTGCTAAGAGCTGAATTTGCATTATTTTAAAGCTAACTGCCTGAAAATATATTGCAAAAATTTCCCAAATTATAATACAATGATACATGCAAATAGAAAAATCCTTAACATCAACATACTTAACCTATATGCTAAGTATTAAAGAAAAAAAAAAATGGGAACACTGGTAACCCCTATACTGGAATCTTGCCATATTTTTTTCATTTTGGAATAGAATTTGGTAGTCTTATCTTAGAACCCAAACCTTAATGATATACCTGAAAGCATTCCTTTGGCATGGACCCCAAAGATAGTTTTTAGAGCCAGAGAAAGATGTAGTGGCTCTCAAACATATTTAGGGACAATAGATCAAAAATTCATAATGCTCTTTTGTGTACATGAAAATGTTTACATACCGAATTCTATAGTATGAACTGGAAACAAATTTACTATGAGAAAATGTGGCTCTTGGGCAAAATAAGAGCAAACCATAAGCATATTTCCATAAACCATGTGTTATATTAAACTGATCAACAGATTAAAACTTTCTAACTTAGGCATAATATTTTATAGTTTTTAAGCCTTTTTTTCCTCCTAGCATTCAGACAAGTAATAGACAACAAAGGCTATGAAAAATTTATTGTGGAAAAAATCTTAAAATTGAGGAAATTCAATCTACTAACTTTATTCTATTAAATTTTTTTCCCTGAATTGGATATATGGCATCATTATTTGATTTTAGCAGGGAACATTTGGATTTAGCTTATGGAACACAGATGTTCTGTGAGAACATGACTTGAAGTCACTATATAATTTAATGTTTCCCCATTAAGTATACATCTAGACATCAACTTAACTACCAAGTGAGGTCAAGTGCCTGAAAAGTGCTGTCTACATCTAATTAGCTAGTTTTCCTCATGTCAAAGATGCATCTTATAGCAATGCATATCAGGCTTTCACCTACTAGAAATATACTTGTTGCCAGACTTTACCAACCACCACTATTCCTCTCGCCTTAGAATTGGGTGAAACCCATTTTACAATTGAGAGAGAGGTTCTTTTGTTTATATGAAGAAGTCCCTAACACTATTTCTTGGTATTGGTAGACTTAGATTTAATCTTAGTTTGAGATTGTATTTTTTAAAAACTCTGGATGCTAAACTATATTCAGTGATGACTGTACAGCTTGTCATAAGTCATAGTTATGATCTTTCTTGAGAGGAATTCTTTATTATGGTTAATACCTACTATAAATAAGCACTCTTGTGCTTGTTATAAAATATAATGCAAATACTAGTTCTATGCTAGAACAATGAAAATGACTAGTTCCATACTATTATGTACCTGTGTTCTCCTCTCCAAAAGGGAAATAGTGAAATGGCATTGTCTAATCCAGTGACACGATATTAGTAACACACTTGGTTTTAGGTATAGGAGAATTCTTGCTTTTATCTACAGAGACTCATGTTTTAGCTAAAACTTTAAAATCGTAAGATCTGTAGTATGGATATTATAATTGTGCATTTTACATTTCAGAAATGGGTAAAATTCAAATGTTGTCTTTGGCTATACTAAAATATTGAAATCCTTTACATTATAGATAATGAACATCAATTGTAACTTTTTGTTACATTAGATATATTTGTCTGGTAACTTCATCAGTTATATTAAATAAAAATAAAGTCAACTTAACAGCTTGCCCTATTCTTGTACATGTACATTCCTAAAACCATTTCGTACTAGAAAACAGTGTGGATTAATGTGTTTAGCACTATTAAAAGAAAATCTAACTTGTCTTTACCATGTTTTTATAGTCTGAATCCTTACTAGAGAACACCCTAGCTTTAGGGCTAAGTATTAATTTTTAAGTTTAGTTCTGTATTTGAGTACAATTTTGTTTTTATTTTTAAGCTTTTAATAGTTTTAAAATATGTAAAATAGTCCCATGGTTCAAAATTCTGTAGTTACAAGAGTGAAAACATATTCCCATCTTCATCCTTTTCCTTGCATTCTTCCAAAGACATTTAATGCAAGAGCAATTAATGTACCTCCCCTACCCCCTGATCTCCCAGACTCAGGTGTTCTCTACCAACATTGCTTTCCTCTTCCCACAGTGATATGAATGGTATGATGAGTCCCTGAAGCAAACCCTTCATCCTTTTTCCAATCCTATGTGTAATCTACACCATTTGGACAGTTTTATCCCTAGATAGCCCAACCGTTTCTTCCTTTTACACACTGTACCATTCTAGAACATCTCCCACTCCGGCATATGAATCATGCTAAAAGACTACCATGGCAGTTGTGACCTCATATCCATGGCCAATATTATTGATATCCATACCTTTCCAAATCCAGTGAGATAATTGCGCAATAAAGGAAGTACCAGATTAGAGTCTTCCAGCTCTTAGTCCCATTCTTTTTGCCATTTGCAAATATCAGTAGCCTGGTCTCCCAGAGGGAAGCATGGGAGGAAAAAAAGAAGAGTGGAAAAGCTAATTATTTATTATGTGTCAGCCTGTCTTAATCTCCTCTCCTCCATCCCCAATCTTGTAATTAAATTCTATCCAAATAGAAGGTGTTCTGTGGAATTGCCACATTTAGAACTCATACTATCTATCTAAAGTATGTGTTCCACTAGGAATTTAAAATATCTATATGTGTACCGCAGAGATACTGTGGGCTGGGTTCCAGACCACTGCAATAAATTGAATATCAAAACAAAGAGAGTCAAATGAATTTTTTGGTTTACCAGTACATGTAAAAGTTACATTAACAGTATACTATACTCTATTAAGTGTGCAATCCCATTATGTCTAAAAAGGCAAGGTACATACATGAATTTTAAAAGACCTTATTGCTAAAAAAATGCTAACCATTATCTGAACTTTCAGCAAGTCATAATCTTTTTGTTGGTGGAGAGTTTTGCCTCAGTGTTGATGGCTGCTGACTAGTCAGGTTGAGTGACTTTGGCAAGTTATTAAAATAAGGCAACAATGGAATTTGCTGCATTAATTATTCCTTTCATAAACCATTTCTCTGAGGCATGCAAAGCTGTTTGATAGCATTTTACCCATAGTAGAACTTTCAAAATTGGAGTCAATCCTCTCAAACCTCAAACACTGCCACTACTGTATCAACTTTTATATTCTAAATCCTTCATCGTCATTTCAGTAATCTTTACAGCATCTTCACGAGGAGTAAATTCCATCTTAAGAAACCTGGTTTCCTTGTTCATCCATAAAAAGCAATCCCCAAACCATTAAAGTTTAATGTGATTTCAGCAATTCAAATATGGTAATAATGAAAAAGCGAAATATTGTGAGAATTACCAAAATGTGACACAGAGATACGAAGTAAGCAAATGGTGTTGGAAGAAACGATGGGTTTGCTGGACTCAGTTGCTACAACCTTCAATTTGTAAACAACAACAAGAACAACAACAAAGCAACAAACAAGTATCTGTGAAGTGCAGTCAAGCAAAGCACCAGATGAGATATGTTAACACTCCCCTGATACATTCAGCAGGATCAGTTGCAACCACTGGGTGTGTTTGGGCTAAAAGTGGCCCACCTACAAGGTTACATTAATTCATTGTCCAATTTGAGATTTATTTCTGGATCCAGTTAAAATAATTTTGGGGCCACACCCTGGGCATGTCGACTTGTGTCCCAGTGTTTTGGAGGGCGGAAAAAGCTTGGCAACCTCAGTTGCCATCAGAATCCTAGCACAGATTTTAATTAGGAGAATGGAAGCTCACCTACCTAACACTTCCTTAGGTTATTCTTCGTTCACAGTTATGCATATGAGTTTCACTTAAAATTGTTGTCTCTGTAGTTCATTTTAATTGCTGTGCAATCAATTAGATAAATCTTTTGGAGATTTTATATACATATCAATAACACCCTGGTATTAAAGAATATACCTTCTTTTCAAAGGCAAATGGAAATTTCAGAATAAAGAATATTTAGGACACAAAGAAAACAATAGTTTCTATAAGGTAGAAATATTTAAAATAGCATTCTGATAACCAATTCCAGGTGAAATTTAAAAAAAAATTGAAAAATAAGAAAACTCTTCTACCTGGAAATTTAAAGACCTGTTACATAATTCTATGCTGAAAAGGGTAATACAAACAGAAGCAATTCCTGAAATACAATGATAGTGAAAGCACTGTATATCAGAATCTAT